CAAGACACTGGAGTCTGGGTGATTGGATATGAGTTATTTTTTTGGTTTTGATTGTATTTATTGATAACCAAAGTTAATTTTCGAAATGTTGATTGGACTAGTTTTGAGTGTGATTTTGAGTTTGTAGTAAAATAATATTTAAAATATAACAATTAAAGTTGATGTGATGTAAAAGTAGGAGAGATGTGATTGAAAGTGATGGTTAGTTAAAATTATGTGAGTGGATGAATAGTGAATTAAAGTTGATGTGATATGTGATGATGATTGATTGGTATTATTCATTATATCGATACTATTGAAGATAGTAGGTTGATTTGAGTAAAATTTGAGTTAGGCTTTTGAGTTAAAAAGTGACACCTAGGCAACAAGTGTTGAACCATGATCCCGTGTTTAAGTCGGGCTTTCACAACTTTGATCAGTAAAGAAACTTTTAGCTCATTATAACTATCATTTAGCGTGGGATGACATTTGAACGTTATGACAGAGCATATTGCAGGCCTCCTTGCAAATTCGGGAACAAATGTGTAGAAAGCAGTTACATTTTGTAGGTAGAAAGTAAAAGCTGCAGACCAAGTATTACTAGTGAACTGTTGAATAGAGGATAGAGTTAATAGCAAGCAAGTCAAAACAGAAAAAGACTCGTCTTCCATCCACCAATATAGAAATCATATCAGAAACATGTTCCTAGAAATTTCAAGAGACCATAGAATGCGAGTGGGCTAAACTATGGCTAACCAACATCTCCAAGCTTGAACGAATAACAAAATTTTTTCACCAAGATAATGGATGTTCAATGCTGATTCTATAATGCCATAATTCTTATTGCTGGAACATGGTCGAAAGTCTAACTACTTTATGCTTAGTTAGGGAGTATGTAATGACACTAGTAGAGCACTATTGGAAAAGCTTCTCGGTTTTCTAATGGTGAAAAAGAACACACATTATTTCCCTTCACATTGACTATATTGATCTTAAACCTCAAAAGACTACTCTCCTTTACTACACCAAACGACTAGGGCTACTCCAATAATTTTAATTTTTCAATATTACTCAGCAGTCAGCATGCAAGTGTTCAATTTATCTTGATAATGTCTATGCTACTCTCTGTCAAAGTTCTCCACAATTATGAATAGTATTTCCAGAAAGTTCATAGAAGTCCCAGCATATCAATCATTAAAAAAAAAAACAAAAAACAAAAAACAACAAGATAGGCAGATTGTTTAACTATCTGCTCCAGACACCAAATTCCATAACTGCCAAAAAATTCCCATTCTTTAAAAAAATCCGCAATACATATCCTAGCTGAGCTCATAATCCCTCCGAATGTATAAACCAGAATAAGAAAAATTCAATGAAAAGTTAGGATTCTGGAACTCACTACTCGTCCAACTGTTTGAGCTCAGCTTTCAATTGCTCGATCTTCAGCCCCATGGCCCTCTGTATAGCAGCCCTCTCGCTCTCCGCAAGCTTACTCAACAGCCCTTCGTACAGCTCAAGAACTTCACTAACAGCTACGCGAGCACACTCAGCTTCCTCGTTAAAATACACAGTCTCCTTGGAATCCATGGCCGATTCGATCTCCTCTCTAGCTTCCGCAAACTTGAGGTTGATTTTATCCACCTCCTTGTCGATCTCCACGCAGTATTGTTTAGATTGTTGGAAATATTTGAGTGCGTATATACCCGCTGGACTGTAAGAATTTGGGGCTTTTTTCAGTTTTTTGTGCGGAGAGAATTGGTTTGAGAAGGTTGCGAGAGATTTTGTTATAAATTGAGATTTGATCTGAGGAGAAATCTGAAAATAGGGTCTGCGAAGTAGCTTTTGCAGGCGAGTAGATAAGCGGTGAAGCATTTTGCAAATTGTGAGCGAAGAATAAACGAAAGGTGAACTGAAATCCCGTGAGAACTGCCAAGTGAATATATATAATGAAGCAAAACAGTAGTGGATGCAGATGTTATGGCTATAGATGTCGCATTAAATTAGATATTGGGCTTGTCAATAGTTGTGCTTGGTTCGAAGTACTTGTCCTGGTTGTCTTAGGGCTCTGTATATATTTTTGGCTTTTATTTTGTTGTTGGTAGGCTTTTTGATAATTGGCTAGGTCCCGAGTGGGTACAGTAGCCAATTATTTTTGTAAGCTTCTAAAGTCCTAGGATAGGAGGTTTAGTAAGCGGGAGATAGATTTGAACTCTCGGACTCTAAGCTTTGCCTTTGCCGAGAGCTCTCATCTACCTCTTTTACCCGAATTTGTATGGAGCAAATGCTCTTCTTCCATTATATTGGCTTCGGCCCATTGTGTTCGTATGATATATAAATCCTATCGTTTCGAAAAAAAAAAATAGTTTCGAGATAGAGAAATTTGCACCCCTTACAATGGGATTAGTAATTACTCGTATGATTTACGGGAGTATTTATTACTTATTTATTTTTTAAAAAGTATTTTTGTATTTAAATTGTCTCATGACATTAAGAATATCATGAAAATGAAAATTTATACATTATTGATTTGATTCATTGGCACAAAAATACTATATAGGTGTTTGAATTTTATCTAAAATTGTATATTATTGGTTATTAGTTAACAAATTTTTTTTTAAAAAAAATAAAGGATCTTATTAATTGAACCAATTATAGTAGAAAAAAATAGAAATTTTTAGGAATTTTCACCCATTATTTATTTTAAATCTAATTTTAAATTTCAATTAAGAAAAATTAAAAATATTTATTAATTACTCCTCAAAATGAAACCGATTTTCCTACCAATAAATCGATTTTTTTTATCAAACAAATTGATCCGAATATTTTTTTTAAAGCAAATAAAAAAATCATCAATTTTCCTCAAAATGCAACCGAATTTTCCTAACACTGCACCGATTTTTTTACCAAACAAATTGAATTGAAAATAATTTGAATAAAAAATGGAAGCAATTTGTTAATGTTTATGCAACTGTCTCTTTCCTAAAGAAAATGATATGAACTTAACAAAAAAAATGATATGAACTTACCAAAATCTCGGTAAAACATGGTTAAAAAAAAACATAATAATCCAAAAAAATCGATGCATTTAAAATTTTGAAAGTTGCACACATTTTTTCCTAAATAATTGGATAAGGTGACTTTAAATATCAAAGATGAGCCGCTTTTGTTACTAAAAACTGTGGACACAATTTTTGAATGTGCATCCCGTCCAAATATCAGTTTTATTCTAAAATAAAAATTGCACGTGGTTTTATCCAATTTACACACTTTTTTTTGAAAGAAAAAAAATATTCAATAAGATTGGAAGAATTGGTTAAGAATTATACAACTATTTGTTTCCTGAATTTGTATGGTTTTTAAGTTAATTTGTATTTAGAATTATTTTTCATAAATAATTGACACATTTTTTGCATAAGAATCTCCAAATTGTTACCAAAAAATATATGATTTAAATTTTCGTAAAAAAATAAAATATAATACGAAAAAAATGGGATTCAAATTTGGCCATAAGAATCTTCAAATTAGTTACCAAAAAAATAGGATTCAGATTTTGTTACTAAAAATTCACATGTATTTTTTTTGAACTTTCCATTAGTAGTAAGTGAAACATTATATTTATTTGGTCAAACTTTCTATTAATGTATTTTTCCAACAACCTCTTTATATAGATATAGATATAGATATAGATATGATTTATATCACATTTATATAACTTTTATATTCTTATTTATAAAATTACTTAACCAAGCCAAAAATATTTCAATTTTACTTGATCTAGGGATGTAACCTTTATTACCTTATTTCGAGCAAATTAAATGCAAATGAGATCCTTAATATAAATTAAATATGTACTTACCTAAACAATCGAATATGATAATTAATACTCCCACTGTAAAACCACCCCACCGCCCACATTCACATTTCTCTCTGCAAAATCGCTCAATCGTTTCCCCCAATTCACTCCTCAATGGCCAAGACAAAATTCTCTCATTCTACTCGAAAAAAACCGACAAATGGTGCCGACGAAACACCACAGATTAGGTCTAGTTCACGGCTTCATAAAATCCATCCAAAAACACAACCAAAACTTGTTCAGAAAAAACTAATTTTCGAAAAAAATATGAACCCTAATCACAAGTCTGCCGGCAAGACTAGAATGCGACAACCTAATTCATCTCCCATTTCAGACAATTTCCAATCCGACCCAAAACCACCAAAAAATATTTTGAGAACCTGTAAATTGGAGAAGCCAAAATCCACCGAGAAAGATTTAGAAGAAGAAGACCCTTATTTCGAGTGTGAAAGTCAACCCGAAGAAACCGGTAGTGAAGAAGATAAAACTAACCAACTTCGCAACAAACTCAAACATTAACTAATACAAATAAACTGCAAGTCAAGCCATAAAATTGACAATTTACTAATAATTAAACAAAAAATAAAAAAAGCAAGCCAACGTGAAATCTAACAAACAAAACAGACACGTGATTTCACTGAAACAAATGTGTCGTTGCAGGGAAAGAAGTTCTAACTTGATAGTATCGTCCGTCAAGTTTCTTTATGCCATAACCCAAATGAACCTCTCCAAAGGACCTCATTCCAAAGGACCTCATTTTAGTTTTGCTCCATTTGCCAAACATATTAGCATAAAGCAGAGTGGAAAACAAATCCTATTATTGTAATAAAAAATAGCTTAAAATCCATCTCTACTCACCTGACCCTATGTTGATCCTAACTATTCCACTTTTGCAGCTGATGAACATAAGCACATTCATTTGTACATACTTTATTGACTTAAAATCAATCTCTACTCACCTGATCTTCATATCAAAAAGTAAAAAGATCTACTTTTCAATAGGCAGACTACACAGACACAAATTTGTTAGCAGTAATTGCTTAACAAAGACAAGCTCAACAGCAAAATTACACATAAAGCTCCAATTTTTCGGCCACCCATAGACAATAAAATATGAACCGGGCTAGAAGACGTTACCAGGTATATCTGCAACCCGGGGCTCCGTATAATGCCCGTTGTAGACTACCACGGCGTCGTACACCTCATCGTATCCACGTTTCTCATTCCCAATTTTCGATCTTACCGACCAATTCCGACCCTCCGCAAACCCCACATGGGACATCTCACTCCTAAACCTAACCACTTCACCGAGCCTAAACTCGTCAGAAAAATCTCTCAAATACTCCAAAACCTAACGTGACCCGGAAACCTCCTCAGATCTCTCCCGGGCTTCCCGCTTGCCACGAACGGGTAGGCCCGGAAACCCATGACCTCCCGGGGCAAGTTCGTCCGTAGCGAGGCGTAGAGGCTGGAGTTGATGACTTTTCAGGTCCGATCGAGTCCCATCGGGTCGGCCTCTGTTTCTATCGAGATGCTTCAATCGGGCGATCGTCGGAGGTGGAGCAGACGTAGGTGGATCCGAGGGCTGAATCGGCGAGAGGATCCTTCCGCTTTCGTAGGAGTAAGAGAGGAATAATCCGACGCAGGCGTCGGAGGCCGGCGACGGCGGGTGTGGGAGGGGTTTGGGATTGGGCCCGACTCAAGGTTTGGAGGAAGGAGGAGATATTGACGTGGATGTTGATTTTTGGGAGATTAATTAAGGTTGTGATGATATATATTTTTGTGTTTGAAGGATTGTTATACAAATAATACAAATGTAAGGTCTTTAAAATAAATATAATTATTATTTTATAAGTTATTTTAATATTTAATGACATAAGGGTATTATAGGTTTTTTGCCATGTACGAGGTGTACGAGCCATGTACGAGGCAATTCATGTACGAGGCAAATTCTTTTTTGCCTCGTACATTGAATATGTGGTTGATATTCAATCTTGAATAAATCTAATGGTTAATAAGGGGGGTATCTGATGTTATACACGTACGAGAGGTACCTGACCCTAGAAGATCCCAAAAGAGTTCTTATTCAATACAAATTTTGGGATTGTTATTCCAACCATATAAAACTTCCATTGTTCAAGTGAATTGACTTCCAACGTAATAATAAGGAATTGACTTCCACATAATAATAAGGAATTGAGTAGTAATAGTTTTGGGTTGACGAAGTTTCTAAAATGAGCTCAAAAAGGATTATTATGTTAAGCTATATAGGCGAATTGACTTCCGACATAATAATAAGAAATTGAGTAGTACTAGTTTTCGTTTAAGAAGTTGATTAATTATATTGTCAATAATCTATATATATATATATATATATAATTGCTGGCTAATAGCATTTAATAAAACAATTAATAAAACCTCATTTTGATTCCCTCCAAAAACCGTTACAAACTTTATCATTTATATCTCTCTCTCTATATTTAATTACTAACAATAAATTTAATAATTTTAGTTATAGTTTACCATCTTTTTATGTTACAATCTTCTATTATTATTATTGTTATTATTATTATTAATCCACCAATCTAATTAATGCTAAAATATTTCATTGCACTTTTTTTAAGATTAATTAAGAGAAAAACCGTTACATTTTATATTAACGAAGTAATAATTATACTATTTTATTATATCATATAATAGTTGTTATTAAAACTAATAACTATAGTTTACACTAAATGATATATGAAAGTTACATATGCTGGGATATGTGAGGATCTCGTTATGCACAAGTCACGAATTCAATAGCAAACATAAACCTATGCACAGCGGATCTAAAGGTTTGACGTAGAGAATTCACGGCTTAAAATTTATGTAGATCTGGTTGACCACGAACGGTTGACCGCAAATCACGTCTCGGGATTGCACGAACAAGATCGGATCGATAAACGGATCAAACGGGTGCAAACGGATGAAAACAGATCTTGTAGTCTGGGAGCTTCCAGCGGCGCGTTGGGGCGCGTGAGGCAGCGGACGGCGGAGATCTCGGCGGCGATGGAAAGCTGATGTCGAGATGGTCGTCTGGGTATGCTGCCCACCTTGATCGGACCTCCGGTTAGTCCTGTACGATTAAATATATTTCGTCTCGGTTTACCTACAGATCTTCTACTGTATTACTCAATGCACCTTTCTTCAACTTGTATCAGTGGAGCAACAAGAAAAATTTAAAGCTCGAATGAGATCTAGAGAGAGAGAGGTGTGGGGCGTGTCGTATGAATTAGGACAGATGTCTTCTCTTCTCACTAGTACAAATCCCGTGCGATGCACGGGTAAGAGATATTCATTAATATTTATAAATTAAAAATATTTATTAAATAATATTAATAAATTAAAAATATGAAATCAATTTCAAATGTTATATGAAAGATAATTTGTGCAAAATTACATGAAACATGTCTATTAAAATTAGTACACAACTCGTACGTTGCACATAACTGGTATTAAATTATATTATATTCTTTTCAAATAAGTGTCAATTGATTTTTTTTTTCTTGGATGCTAGATTAAATTTAAGATGTTTGAATCTCGTGATTGAATGAATTGTGAAGTGCAACGTAATATTTTTCAAAATTCATGTAAAACTGAGATAATATAAATAGTCATGTACAAATTTGATTACGAAAGCGACAGATAGAGAACATAAAATTGTATTTTATCTATCTTAATCATATATATATATATATATAAATAGAATTATAATTTATATTAACCATGAACTAAAATCGCACATATTTATTATTTTAGAATATTTTCGTAGTTCACAATAAAATTACAATTATATTTGGATAGATTTTGTTAATAACATATAACAATTAAGCAGATTTAATTTCTCTTATCCCCTCTATATATAATTTCAAATCATGTTGAGTCTAAGTGGCAAGTTCGCACGCTTCAGATGTTGAGATGTCAAAATGATGTACTTCATAATTTGGTTTGTATAAATACTATTGCTTTGGAATCACGTTTAATATTGTACATAAATAATTTATTTACAATTTTGGTAGTTATGCATTTATATTTGTCACTTTTTCACTTTCTTAATAAAATCTTACCATATGAAATCATATTATTTATTCTCATTTATTTAATTTATTAACTACCATAATTTATTTTTATCATACTTTAAAAGATAATAACATTTATAAGTAGCCCGTTTTTCATATATGATTTATCAAATTAATCATTTGTTTGACGATTTTAAATTTGACATCTATATCAAATATAGAAATTTAAAATTAATTTCAACTATCTTTATAAATAAAACTTAAATTTATTTATCAATCCAAATTAATAAAAGACACATACAAATGAAACTATATATTATCTTAATAAAAAAATATTTATATAAACCTAAAAATATTGCTCAGATGAACCTCATGTTGCCGTAATGTTCCCGATGCTCGCAGGGAGGTCGTACCCTAGGTCAACGGCGAGGTCGCGGCGAGACGGGGCGAGCCTCTCGGTCGGCGATTGGGCTGCAATCAGTGGCGGTGATTATCAGCCGGTCTCAATTGGAGGTAAGCTTTTTCTCTACTTCTGCGTTTTGGTCGTGATTTGGGGCTCCCTTCGGACGGTGAGCTTTTTCTGGTGAGGCGCCTTTTGGGGCTTTTCCGGCGGGGCTCCGTTTTGGGGCTTCTCGGTTTATTATCGGTGGACTTCGGTGATTTTGATTGGTTTTGGGTCTGTAAGGGGGTGGGTCTCTGGTGGCGGGCGGGAATTGGTCTCGCCGGCGTCAGGGTTGAGGGGCCACGATACCATCACAATCCTCCGTTCGGCTAGTGGTGTTAGGCGGCGGGGGTCCGGTCTAGTTGAGTGCTTCTAGTGGTGTTAGATTTGCTCAGAGGGATGGGGTGTGAGGTTTGGATCGGTTGTGGTTCCTTTCGGTCAACGGCGGGTCGTTTCGGGGATTTTTCGGGGTATTGGGTTCACCTACTGCTAGGCGTTCGTGCAGTTTCAGTAGCGGGACTTGGACTCGGGATCTTTCTTGTGACGATTGATCTCTACTGGTTGGGGCGGTATCGACTAGCTGAGGAAGGGCATTTTTATTTATCTTTGTTTCATTTTTGTTTTCGTGTTTGTGTTGTTGGTTTGTAGCTGATGTTGTTTGTGTTTATTTTTCCGTTTGTTGTCGTGTGTTAGAATGGTTCCAGTGGGCTCGTGTGCAACTTTATTCTCCTGTTGGGAGCGCACTCGAGTATTCTCCTGGTGGGAGGTTCTTCTTATTGTATTAGTAGTTATTCTGGGTATTCTCCTGTTAGGAGGGTTCTCTATTTGTATTAGTTGGTTTGTAGTAGTGTTTATTAGTGTTTTGTTGTGTCTGGTATTCTCGCGTTGCGAGCAGTATTCCGGTCTAGGTTACATTGGTGTTATTGTAATCTCTCAGTTACCCAGGATTCGGGCTTTGCCCTTGTACATTGCCGGTTGGCTTTTTTATTGAGAATTTTATGTCGTTGAAAAAAAAAAAAAAAAAAAAAAAAAAAAAAAAAAAAAAANTATCTTTATAAATAAAAATTAAACTATTTATCAATCCAAATTAAAAAAGACACATACAAATGGAACTATATATTATCTTAATAAAAAATATTTATATAAATATACCCAAAAATATTTTTTAGAGTCCTAAGAAAAAAATATGCAAATGTTAAGTATAATTATAGAATGAAAAAAGTCTACAATTTAGACTAAAAATCACTAAGGAGAAATCACAGTCTAGTCATACTTAACAATTATTTATAAATATTTGCCCACATAGTTATGCTTAAATATATGGAATAATTTAGTGGCCTAGTTATACTTAACAATTTATAACATTTTCCCATATAGTATTCACATCAGTTCATTTTTATTGTGAAAAAAGTCATAATAGATAAACAATTTAAAAAAATTATAAGATATATTTAATTCATAATTGTTTTAACTAAAATTACACAATATAGAATAAATAATTTGAATTGCATAAGTTAAAATAGCTTAAAAGTTTATTTCTTTTTAACTGTGTATATTTATTAGTTTCCTTTAAATATATGATTACGTAAAACAAATGATGCAATTTATTACTGTTTTAGGAAATGTGTATCTTGAGATATTAGAGACTGATATATATGAATAGTATTATGATTAGTATTACCATAATAAATCAGTCACAATTACCTAAATTGTACCTTTAAAACATACCATAAAATGTTTAAATAATTTTCAAATTTAGTAAACAACATTCTTTTTGGTGGGAAACAGTTACTATTTAAAAAAATAATCAAACCTTTATATACATATATATATATAGATATATATATATATATGTAGGGTCACGCTCCGGTGAGAATGACTCTTAATGAGAGAAATAAAAATACATCATAGCCATTAGATCGGATGATCTAATGGCTAAAAAACAGTCAAAATTGTACCTTCATTAAGGATATTGGTGTAATTTTACACACCACACACCCAAACAGGTGGGCCCCTTTCACAATCATCCACGTGACCCACCACATTAAACCAAATTAATGAACCTGACACCACCCTACCCACCCTACTCCACCCCATCTCACCCTACCCACCTCACCCTACATTATCTCTCTCTCACACGCGCACACACAGACACATTCACGGCCCAACACCGCCAGCCCGCCGCCGCATGTCAACCGCCGCCACCACCCGTCAGTCGCCGTCACCACCAGTACCCCCACCGCCAGTCTGTTGTCGTCACGGTGACTGCTCGTCCGCCACTGCTTGTCCGCCGCCGCCTCCACCGCTCTTCCGCCCGTCGATCTCCCACTGCGCCACACACAGAGCCGCCTAAGGCCATCTCGACACCAACTCTCACCACCTCCCCCACCGTTGCACCGCCTGCCGGAGGCGGCGACTCTGAGCTCGCACCAAACGGCCGCCGTGTCCCTGCGCCACCGCCGCTACGTGTCTACACAATCCCAGCCCGCCGCCGTCCACTCCCACCAGCCCTTCCTCCGCCGACGATGCCGACTCGCCGCTGCACCTCACACGCCCCTCTGCCCGCCGCCATTCACTTCCACCAGCCGATTGCACCCACACGGCCGCGGCCGCCACCTCATTCTCCGAGCATCCGAACGGCGTTTGAGAGTGCGCGACGTCCATGGATACGACGGCGCCGCCGCCGTCTGCGGATGTGCGGGAATGGGATGTGCAGGAATGGATTTGGGGAGGGGGTTGTAGGGTTTTTTTTATGAAAATTAGATAAATTGTAAAGACTTAATTGCAATTTCTTAAAATTTGATTTATTTCAATTTGGTTCAAGTGTCAAATCTGTAATTTATTGAAAGTATAATAAATGTATACTAATTATAAATAAAATGCGCATTATATACATAATAATTTATTTTGAATGTTTATATTAATTCGGTTGCACATTATTTTTCTCTTTCAACAAAAAATAATATAAAATATAAAATAATAAATTCATAAATATTAAATATAATTTTATAATATAAATAATTTGATAAAATTTCAGTATGTAAATTTTAATATTTAAAAAAATATTGAAATAATAGATACACTTTTATAATAATAAATAATAAATTATTTCGATTATTTTGGTCAATTTGATGTGCAATTATATCGACTAAATCTATTTTTCAAAAACACATAATTTATATTTGATTGTATAAGTAGTGCACTTTATATATTAGCATGACACACTTTATACAACAATACGTTGCACTTTATAAAACAACACGTTGCACTTTATCAACACGGTCCACAATTGACGTTACCAGCTCTCCCACCAAAACGTCACACAACATAAATTTAAAAAATGGATAAACATAATAATATAACAACAATCACATCATTTATTCACACAAAACACAAACACTTTAACATACTAAAAATACATTATTTCACTTTATACGTCAACCCGTTGCACTTTATAAACAACACGTTGCACTTTACAAAACAATACATTGCACTTTATCGCGAATATCAGATTGCGCATTAGAGATCGAAACCGAAAATAATATAAAAATAATAAATAAAATTATTAACTTATTAAATATAATTTGAATATAAACAATAAATTGTTTTGATTATTTAGGATGATTCGGTTAATCGAATCGAATAAATCAATTAATTATGTTTATTTTAGTTTTATTTGACGTTACACTTTATAAAACAACGCATTGCACTTTACAGAACAATACGTTGCACTTTATAAAACAATACATTGCACTTTATCACGAATATCAGATTGCACATTAGAGATCGAAATTGACCAAACTTTTACATTTTATTTTGATTATTAGTTTTTACTTTTAAAACGCACATATATACACAATTTTGAACAATTCACTTATCGTAAAAAAATGACGTATTTATAAAATTTTAATAATTACATATACATATGACATTATTTTTTTTAAAGTGCACACATTCATACAATATTGTGCATCTATTGTGTCATTAATGTGCATAATTTAATCTTCATTTAATTTTAACAAGCCACACATAAATATAAATATATATATATATATATATGTATATATATTTAAAGTCTTCGTCACCAAACGCCGGCGGCGCCGTCTTCGTCACCAAACGCCGCCGCCGTCCTCCGCCCAAACAAAAGAAAAAAAAAATCGGCCATTCTCCTCAGCACTTTCTCCCGCGGCAGCCATCGCCGTCAGCCCTTCCAAAACTACATCGTCGGCCGACTAGGACAACAGACAGACGACAGCAACAGCCGTTCTCGCCACGACGACGACCACAATCGGTCCGGTTGATGGGCTGCGGAGGCGCGGATCTACACAGACGACGGGCTGGTTTTCTGCCGGAGCCTGCTTGGTAGCATCCGTCTCCGGCGATGGGCTGCGGAGGCGCGACGGAGGATGGCATATGCGCTGCGGCGGAGCTCTGCCGCTGAGGAGACGGGTCGCCGGTGGTCAGTCTGAGTGTGTGTGTTGAGAAGTGTGTGTGCGTGGGGTGGGGGGAAAGGGGGAAGAAGGTGAGTGGCGGGTAGGTGGAGGTGTGTAGGTTTAATGTGTGATGTGCTGGGTCCCACATGTTAAGGTGTTTGATGCAAAAGTCACAATTACCCTTAATTAGTGCTAAATCTATATACTTGACCTTTATATATCTATTTATTTACTATATTGCCATTAATGATTGACCATGATTTATTAAAGTTTGACTTGATCATGATCATTAATATGTTGGATCCAATGATCCAGACTATATTGCCATTAATGATTGACCATGATTTATTAAAGTTTGACTTGATCATGATCATTGATATGTTGGATCCAATGATCCAGACTTATTTTCATTTCTCGCATTAAGAGTCATTCTCATATGATCCTTTCTCTCTCTCTCTCTCTCTCTATATATATATATATATATATATATATATATATATATATATATATACTAGTTGTCTCACGGCTGTGCACGCACAGCCGGCTCAAATTTAGTCTATAATCGAGTAAAATTTATCATTTATTTTTTAAGTACTGTTATTTAAGTTTAGACAAATGAATTAAAAATAAAGGAATGTTTATCTTTACTAAAATCAATAGATGTTTAGGTTTCTTAAACCAAGTGTTGCGCCGGTTGCTTAATGTGCAGGTGTATTAGCTGAATGAGATGCATCATCGTGTGGCTTTTAGTGGTGCCTGAATGTTATTCAATGCATTGATACGACTCAACATTAGAAAACCAAAGACTATCATACACTTCGAAAAACTAAGCACAAGTTAGATGCCGTATCGAGTAATTCAAACTAACCCCGAATAGAAATGCGTATGAGGTCATTCAGTCGCAATGTTTGTGTGAACAACGTTCACATCCACATAACGATCTCTTGGAGTTGGAATAATTGTGTCACAACCAATCACTAAACCCTCAACAAGTGAATCCAAAAGGATGCAAGAGGATTTGAAAAGAAATTGTTATACAGTAGCGCAAAGAAACCAAAACATCAGATAAAGATACTCTACAAAGCAAAAGACAAGTTTCCAGCTTTGGCATGAAAGTGACTACATGCGTGCCAACAATCACGGATAAAAGAAAAAAAGAATTATTAACTCCAGGCAATTGACTAAATGCAGATTGACATTACTGGCAAATGAGAATGCAGTAATAGAAGGACCTGGTGCAAGTATTCATCCATCTCATTGCACCACATGGGCTAACACAAAGAACAACACTATAAGAAACATTGTCAATACAAGGAAACAAGAAACATTGAACATAACAAGGCAAAACGTGAATACGTCACCAACAACGCACGATTTTGATTAAAACAGCAAAGTCGTCACACAGAAAATCAGAGAAAGCATGGGCAACTCGGGGAGAGGCTCACAAATGATTAATACATCATTATTAGTCTTCTCGGAGGGCGTAGGCACAACTACAACACCAGTCCTTTCTGATCGAGCCTTGCGGGCCAACTCTTGAAGCTCCATCTCTTTCATCATCATCTCCTTCTGTACCTTAGACCGGACAACAACAACCTCCTTGGCCTTTTGCTCCACAACATACAGAGCCTCCGACAATTTCGCAAATTTGTAGCTGATATGAACATCCTGAAGCCCCCGTCCGTCGGCCGCCAGACGCTTGTCGAGCGGTATAGTGTAACCCTTGGGGTTCTTCCAGTTGGAGATGTAGGGAGGGATATTCCAATACTGTTGATCCTTCACTATAAAAGCATAATAAAAAATATACTGCAGTTCAAATAAAGCCAAGTAAAATAATCGGTTGGCAAAAATTCAAGCCATGCACTAATCATCGGCATATAAAAAAAAATGAAATCGATGAGCTCGATTAAACTAGGCCTCGTTGTCTTATTTACAGGACTGGGAGTGTGTATTTATCATGAATTAGATATAAAGCTCCATCAACCCAATCATGCATAAGACACATGAGTTCAAATTAAAACTTTTACTTTGAATACTATTGTGAACACTATTGAGCGATATGACTCCCATCCAATCAAACAACTTTTAATAGAACTTTAAAGTAGGAGGGGAGATGGAAAAAGGAATTCACACAATAAAAACATATCCCAAATCTCTTAGTTTTTCTAATGTCAGTTGGTTAAATTTTGTTACACCGTTGTAAAAGCCTTACTCAACAAGAAGAGATAAAAACAAATAAGACTGGTATTCACCTGAATGTCAGCTTGAAACTGAGTTTGGCACTCATCAGAATACTGAATAACACAAAATTATTAAATTAGAAAAATGGATAAGATTACTAACACATGCAGTAAACAATAGACCTTTAAAGGTCATACCCAGTTCCACTCATCTTCGACTAACATATCTAGAAATTGAAACAAGCATTTCGGGACATCTTACTGTTCTAGTTATTAACAATTGAAAACACTCACACAAAACAGAAAAATCATCGCCGTATGTCCATTTCAATCAAGCAAAAAGAAATTTTTGTTAATCAATAAGTGACTTAAAGCCAAAAGGTGTTTGATTTAACATAATCCAAGTTAACTTAAAAACCTCTCGTTCTTGGACTCTAGGGAAATACGTGCTGCAAACGGAGTGGAAACAATTTCTCTATAATTCCAGAATTGGAATAGTGCAATAATATACCTCAGGTGAGGAGGAAGAATCGAGCTCATTTGGAAATATCCATGAACGCTTTCTAGAAACTGCTACCTTTACCATGTCAGACCAAATGTCAGAAAGATTCTATAAAATACATGAAAAATAGAGAATATCATATCTCTACTATATCTCTCTTATCTTATATAAAGAAGTTATAGGTCTTTAAAAGTTGACAAATGTCCATTTTTGTGGTCTTCAAAAGTTGACAAGTGTAACACCCCGCTTATCAGAGTAACTTTTTCGCAACTTTTACTTCGAAATTAGTTTAACTCTTTCGAAATCTTTTGCGACTAACTCGAGATGCTACTCAAACTCATCATCTTGAAAATCCGTTTACCTTTGAACTTTTGTCTAATACTTCTTTATACATAAATAAAACAGATTTCCTTTAAACTTGCATTTAAAATACCATAATCATATTTCTTATAATGGTAAAAACTTGAAATATGAAATTTATTAAAATGCAAGTTCAATACTTAATGTGCATAGCGGAAATACTTGAAAACGTGGTTAATTATACAGACTGTTATAAATGTCCTCATCAAAGCTTGTCTTCATCTGATCCGCGATCCACACCAACACTGCTCCACTCACACCTCCTCTTCGACCTGTTATCTGAAACTAAAACTCATGGGGGTGAGTAACGAATATGGATAATCATAAACCGATATCTGATCGGTAACTTAAACTTTTCTCTTCTCTTGTCGATAATTAATCGGATACGTGTGCACACTCTGATGGATATTTCTAAGGCAACTCAGGCGGCCTCCATCAGAACTTAGGATATAATCTCTGAGAACAAATTAATGCCTCCTCATCCTAAGCGTAATAATCTTAAACTTTAGGATATAATCTGAGACAACTGATGGTCTCCTCATCCCATATGACATTAATATCGTACTCAATGTGATACCCGTTCAGGGTCCCCACCTTTTTGTCTTTGAAATCATTTGAAATACGATAAGTGCTGTACTGGTACTGTATCTGCAAGTTACATCAAATATAAACAAATATACTAAGTACTATGCTCGTATACTCAATTAGATTTTTAAAATTATTAACTTATCCAAATCTTATAGAAATTTATTAAACTTGTTTTTTTTTTTTAATTCCGAATTTTCTAATAAAATCAGAAAATAATTTTCAAATTTTTTTTTTAACTTATATTAATATCTCTAATATATAAATCATTTACAAATGATTTAATGAGGAAAAACATGCTTAAAAATAACATAAACACTTTTATTTTTCTAATAATAGCATAAATTGTGAAAATTCACAATTAATTAAAATTATGCTATTCTTAATCTTTAAAAATCCATAATAACTAAACTTTTATGCTTAATAAAATTTAGATATCAATAATAAAATTTTCGGAATCAAAATCGGACTTAAATTTCATTTACGATTGAAAACCAAAGACTTTATTATAATCTCTACCATTCTCGATTATGAAATTTTTTAACTAAATCTTGAAATACTTTACGTATTATCTATACTAAATTAATCACTCTTACTGATTTACCTTATACTTTTTAATGCGGTAAATAACTTTTACTGTGGTAATTAATTTTTACTGCGGTAAATAAATTTTTACTGCGGTAAATCATTTTTTTTTACTGCGATAAATAAGTTTTTACTGACTTACTAAAATATGGGGTATTACAATCTACCCCCCTTAAAACTATTTCCGCCCTCGGAATACTGAAACTGGAATATATATATACTAACTATGTATATACATCATAATTCAATATCTGAAAACTGAGCACTTATACCAACTTATCACTTACCAGTGACATCTTAACTTTATATGTGGCGATTCATTCTTACATTATCAAGGAAAATATCTTGATTCTTTAGCCAATGAACCTTCTGTTCAACCTTTCTATCGGCTGTTCCTCGTAAGTTAACTTATATTCTTGGTGCAAAAGCACATACTCTGAATCACACACATAATTACATAACTTTGTTACGAAAAACATTATGCACACTGGACAACTTTAAATAAGAATTGATATATTAAATATTTATTTAACTTAAAACTTTAATCTATAATACATTTTCATGCGATTTACCCACTACCCGGGGCCCTTCATGTGCGGAACCTCTGCATGCTTAAATATCTATGTCAATTGTAATCATTAACAATTCACATCTTCATTATAAATTAATATCTTACTATAGTAATCTTGTTTCTCTTTCGAAAAAAAAGCTTATTACTCAATATCACTATTGATATTTACTTCAACTTCTCCGATTTAACTATAGTCGAGAATTTCGTTGAACTTTCATTTCTGATGTGGAAAAACCTAACCATTCCTCTGGTCATACCACAATTTCAATCCTTAAGGTAAACTTGATTTACCTTAATAATGCAACTGTCGGCAACATCTCAATTATTGCAAACATCTCACATCTGATCTTGACAACATTAAACATCTGATCTTGACAGCATTAAATGCTTACTAACTGCATCTTCTGACATTCGGTATAATTTAATCATACCCGAAAGCTTATCTCATACTCTTCTTCCTTCTATAAATTGACTTGATAATCCTTCCATTTTCTTCAGCAATGGTCCGATTCATCAATGGATTTAGCACTTCTCAACATCCGAAAATTATATTCTTTTCTCCCTTTTAACATCATAAAAAGAATTTATCGAGCTCGAGTAGAAAGATTGAGAGTACTTATGCTCAATAATATCCCAAATGATATAAGATGGCTGATTGAAGCGAAAGATCGTGTCTCTGGCGAGTATCCCAATGCATATAAATATCTGACAGGTATGGGTAGAAGCACTTTTGCCAAGAAACGTAGAGCAAAACGAATAGGCGGCTGCTATAAATGCGCTCGCTGGAACTGCGACACTTGTTGTACTTCTTTAGGCTTTGTCTCAAATAATCGAGAAGATAAAATAACGTTCATCAAGAATGGCTTGAGTAAAGAATCTCTGGATCATACTATTCAGCAGATTCTTGAGACACATTCTAGTGGATCTGTGCATCGAGAACTGATGTCTTTATGGCTTCTGTTCAAACATGAAAAGAAACTCTATCACCTGAAAAATATTATTTCCAAAGATCATGTTTGTAAGCACTGTTCTTGATAATATCGATGTACTGTACATAAATCTTATTACTTCTGATAGATAAGAGTCATTTAAGATTCAACTGCTTTCTTGTCGCAACTTTTCTTTTTTAAAAAGGCAAATCTATCTTCATAGCCAAATATCTCTCATAATAAATGGCTACTGCCGAGTCTTCTCAAGGTACCAAACTTCTTCAACCAATCAAAACCGTGTGCGTTCTTGGTGGTTCTAGGTTTGTACTCTTCCCTCATAACATCTATGTTGTAGGCGAACTGGTGAAAGAGTTGGGAAAACACCAGATCAACATACTTTATGGAGGGACTAGTATCTTTTTCTTTAACAACCTCTTAATGGCTGCTAAATGCTTTAATATTGAGGTGAGAAGTATCCTTCCTTTTTATCTCACTTCCTCAAATATTATCAAAGATTCTGCTACTTTGATGATAACTCTCTCAATTTATGACTGCTTGATGGCAATGATATCTGGTTGCGATGCTTTCATCGTTCTTCCTGGTGGATATGGAACTTTAATGACTGCTTTTACCCTTGCTACTTGGGCAGAAGTGAAATTTCATACAGAACCTATTGGTTTGTTGAATTTCAATAACTTTTTCCACAACTTGCTTGGATTTCTAGATGAAGGAGTGTATCAAACTTTTATATCTCCTTTACAAAGAGAAATATTCAAGTCTGCAAATACATCCGCTGAACTTATCAAGAAGCTTCAAGATAGCATCTCAACAGTTCATGATTCTGTGGAAACTCCAGGATTCAAACGCAAACGAGCATTTGATCCTTTAGATCTATCTTTGTGAAACTACAGCCATGCTGGGTGGCAGAGTTATGGAGTCTTGTGCTCTTGAGACGCACCCTCCCTTTATGTAATATAACTTTGTATTGGTTGAGAATTCCTTTCTGCTTGTCTATATTTCCTTTCTCTGTTATTTCTGTACTAGCTTCTTAGAAATAGTGAAGTTCTCAACATTGTACTTGAATCCTTGTCTTGCTTTTTACTTTCAATGATATTACCATATGTCAAGTAGATTGATTATGCAAAATATACTTTTCTCGTATATACTTGAATCACACATCAATACTACTTGTTTCTGGAATGAGAAAACTTCTTGATTCAGTCAAGATTTTATACTTCTTAAACTTTACTCAGTTGTGGTCTTGAAACTTTGCCTTGCGGCATTCTAATACCACTAACCATATAACTTAAACAGTATAACCATTAATAAATAGCTACTTTAAAGAAATTGATAATTTTCCGAAAACACCTAGCTTGTGCTAGAGTTCCGGTTAATCTTAAATCTCTTTCTTGTTTCTTCTCGCCATTTCTCACTTATGGCTTTAAAATCATCATTTATTATTGGAAATAAATACTTGATCCCAATATATGAAAACTTATCAGTCTTTGCTTTATTAAAAAGACTGTCTTTAACTTTCACATATCCAGATTATTCTTGCTTAACTTCAAAAATTCTTTCTAGAATTTTACATAATCATTTCGTATCTGGAATGTGATACTGATATCTTTTAAGGTTCGACTTCCAGTCTCCAGGTAATTCGGACTTAATAACCCTTATTTCAGGTTTCTATAATTTACCCGGCTATGTGACTATTATATGTCGATACCTTAAACTTATTCTCATTGATTTCTGAAAATATTTTGTATATTTGTACTGCCACTAACAAGTACCAATACAAAATAACTTATAACTTGATCTTAAACTTTGCCACTTTTTAACTTATGATATCTAACTGATAAGATATCAAAACTTCGGATTTATAAAGATTGACTATTTTCTTAAACTTTATTTCTACGGTTCAGTTTCAAGCCTCCAGGATCTGATCCGGTTTTTGGTTCTTATTTCAAACCCCCATGATCTTCTCCGTACTTTTGGCTATTATATACTGAAATACTGTTACTTCTTATACTTAGCTCAAATACATTGTCAATCTT